AAGAGGGCCCCCGAAATGCGCGGCGAGGTCACGAAATTGGTCGACCACGAGGTGGGCCAGGCACGGATGAGGACCAGCGTCAGCTCGGCAAAGGGAGCTCCACGACCTCGTTTTGCCTAAGGCACGGACGTCCATCTTCGACACAGGCAGGTTCCAAACGATGCGCGACGCCTCAGCGTCGATGGCGACGCGGCTGATCCGCGCGAGTACCAGCTCGATCTCCCGCACGCAGCAAGCGGCACCAAAGGAGCGCCGCCCGCGAGCCGAGCGGGGCGGACCCGACGTCAGCAACGAGAGGGAGGCCGATCTCCATGAGACGGCGCACGTCGAGGGCAGCTGTCTGGCGCGCGGGGCCGATGCCACGGGTGATCGACCTGACCGACCTCTTCACCGACCTATCCAAGAACTCGCCCCACGGGAAACCCAACGCGAGACGTCGATCCCGCGCCATTGAATGGTAGTTGCCCGGGGACCTATACCCGCGAGCCTCGAAGAGCACGCCGACGGCCTCCACGGCGCAGACCTGCAGCGGGAAAACGCTCAGAGACCCAATGAACCACTCGCCGTGGAAACGCATCCACACGTTCGGGGGGGGGGGGCCTGAGGCCGCACTGGCGTGCACGTCCTGGCGGAACATCGCGAAGGCCTCCTCCCGCTGCGCCGGGTCGCTCACCACGCCGAGCGCGGCAGCGCGCGAGCCCCGCCGATGATTATGCATCGGCGGGGCGGCGCGGCCTGGAGGAGCAAGCTGAGGGCGCGAAACTGGCCTTCCTTCAGCGTCCTCTGCGCCGCGCGCAGCGCGCCGCACCAACCCACCTTCGTTCCGGCGCACCTCCTGACAACGCCGATGGCGATCCAGGGCACGCGCCCCCGGAGTGCTCGACGGCACGCGGTCTGACCCCGCCGCGCCCGTCGGCGCCCGCCGGAAGTTTGCAGAGCAAGGCTCGCGACCCGGGTCAGCACCCGCGCCGGCGACCGCGCAACCAACGACTGCACGGCCCCAGCGAAAGCGCCGCCCTTCTGCGAGGCCCGTCCCCGAATGGGCAACCGCAGCCGCTCGCTCCGGCGCGCTGTGGCCCACACTCCCTCCCCGGCCGGCCCCCAGCGAAACAGACGCTTCATCTGAGCCGAGTGCGAAGGTGGAGGCAATGGGCAGGGGGAGAGACGGGGGCGGAAGGCAGGGAGGGGGGCGTTGATGCGCGATCACAGCGCTCATACTCTGAAGCAACGCGGCCCCCCCTGCGCGCGTCGCCACCCTCGTGTCGACGAGGAAGCCAAACTCGCGCCCGTGGACGCGGACCCTGAACGCGGCGGACCCCCGAGCGTCTTGAAGTAATTGGAGTCTAGCGGCGGGAGGTGGGCCTTCGAGATGCTACGAACTTGCGACGGAGTCTGAAAACCCACCACTGACTGGAACTGCCTCGACAAAGCGCCCACGATAGTAGCGGTGACGCTGGACGCGCGCGACGCGACATCTGACTGACATTCCCCGGGCGCGATGTCCAGCGCCATCTCCCCGGCGATGATCCCGGCGCCGTGGCCCCTCGACTGCGTCTTGGCGACCATCGTCAAGGTGCCGACGTTGTCGCCCTTGACTTCCAGCGCTGGTCTGCGGCCACGCCAATGACGGGACCACAGTCGAAGGGAGGCTAAAATCGCAGGCGCTTCGAGGGTCCTCCGGCCCTTGCAATCGCCCGCGGCGATTCCCAAAATGCTTGCGACGTCTGCCGAATGCTCATAGGAGAACCACGGAAGGATCACGCCCGCGATCACGACGACGCCGCCGATGCCCCATGGGCTCGCGTCCGCGACGATGCGGATCTCCTGCCCCCTGGAAAGCCACGAGTCCAGGTGGGGCACGCGCGCGAGGCTGCCCGGCTGGAGGTCGAAGAATTACGAAAGCCAATAGCGATTTCGAAAGCTGGCTCGCCCACGCGCAGCCTGGGGGGCAGCCCGAAGCGCCCGACCGAGATGTCGAAGATTGCGAGCCCCACATATCCGATAAGAACGGCCCCATCGCGAAGATAAGGGAGGCGATGTGGTTCAGCGACCCCAAGGCGCTGCGAAGTCGCTTCACCGAAACCGCGTTGAGGCTCTGGCACTCCATGACGAGCTTCCGGCACGCCGTAACTTCGTCTTCGGCGATCTCGACCCTGACGCAGTGGTTCTCCTGGTCGATGGTGACCACGCAGCCACTCCAGGGGACGACCGCCCCCCTGCGCGCCCCGTGTGAAAGGCGAAGGGAAAGCCCAAGGCGCGCGAGACCAGAACGACCATGCACAGCCGTCGGTCGCGCGACGCCGCAGCACCTCGGACGCTGATGGCGGGATCTTCGATGAACGTCTGGACGCGGAGGCTCTCGGCCCACTGGCTGGCGGCGCTCGGCGGCGCCGCAAAGAGGCGCTGGGCGAAGCGCATCGCGAGCGATGCGACCGCCGCCCACGACAATGGCCCGTTCCGCGACCCCTGCGCCGACCTGAGGCACACCAGAAACTTCCCAGCAACGCGCCCCACGAAGTTGGCGCGCTCCTCGAACTTCAAAGGGGCGTTCCAAAAGGCATCGACGAAATTCAACACCACAGCCTCAAGGACCTCCCCGCGCCGGCACGTGGCCATGAGCTCCAGAAGGTCCGCGACAGCGTCCGTGATCCTCGGGAGCACGACGCGGTGCGTCTTGCGGGTTGCCAGAGTGACCCGGGAGGCCGTCAAGTCCAAAATGACTCGTTTCTTGACCCTCCCGTCCTTTACCCGCCGGATCACGCCAGATCAAATCTGATAAGGATAGGCCCCTTCCTAATATACTCCCTGACCTGCTTGAAGGTGTCGAAGGCCGCGAGGTGCGGATGGTCCTCCTCCGCGCACGAGAGAACCTCCATGACCGCCTCCGCGTTCTCCTCGAAGCCCAGGAAGTTGCGAAAATCATCCCGTGGCTCCACCAAGTCAGCCGCGTCGAGCGCCTCGTCGCCCTCCGCGGCAATCGGGAAAAGCTGATCGAGCACCGGGTCCTGGAAGACGCCCGCTGGCGCCCCTTCCCAGCACCACCTCGCGACGCGCGCCCCAGGATCACAAGCGCGAGTTCCCCAGTGGAGAGGAAGGCCCGCCCGAAGATCGGTCGCGCACGTGGCCGACCGGGCAGGCCCCGTGTCGTCGGTGCCCAGAAGCTCCCCTAAGATCCGCCGAAAATTGTCGAGGCCCTGCTCCCTGGGACCCAACTACGCCCATGTAAGGCAGGCGGCCGCCAGCGACGGCTATCAAGATGTCGTCCTGCACGCGCGGGAACTCATCAAGGAAACGTGCGACGACGTGGCCGACGATGGGCCCCACGGTGAGATGCCCAGACATGCGACGGATCGAATTAGCAGCATTCCGAGACCAGCGAGTGCGAGCCGGTCCTCCTCACGCTTGTCGCGCTTCGGGTCCTCGATTGCACCTTTGAGGGGCTGGAGAAAGACAATCTCACGAACCGCCGAATCCTGGGATTGGCACGCCGCGACTCCTGGGCCAACGCCTTCCTGCGACAGCGGCGCGGCTGGCCCGGGTGACTCATGCAGCCGCATGCGCAGAAACTGCGTCGCGAACGACTCCAGGAGAAACCTGTTGAATTCCATCGGAAATCTCTCCGTCTCGTCTGTCAGGCGTCGCCCCGGCTGCTCGGCGTCCCAGGGGAACGGGCTGCTCCATGCCCTCCATCAGCTGGTAGCCGCCCCCGAGCTTCGGATGCAGCACGAAATTCGATTCGAACAGCGCGGCGAAGGTCGCCGACGACCCGAAGCACCCCAGCGCGATCTCCGATGTCGCAACGCTGTCCATGGCGTCAAGCTCCATGACCTCTGGCAGGCAGAAGATGGACATCTTCCGCGTCGGCTCCGACGTCCCGAGCAGCCATGGCCTGCCCGCCACGGGAAGAATTCGCGCGGCAGCCGCCGAACGGATCCCGAAGAGCGTGCCTTTCCGGACACGTTACGCATCCACCGGGGAATTTAGGGGGCAAACAAACCTACCTCGCTTTTGACCACCCTCGCTTCCAAGAGATACCAAGCGATGCCAAACCATGGCCTGTACGGGTCAGGCCGCTTGACGAGGAGGCGCGTGGTGCGACCTGGTTTTGCCTGGAAGCGAAGGCGGGGCAGGTAATTCGCGCTCTGGGAATTGGACCTCAGGCCGTCATTTCCTCTCCCCTCCAGGCCGCGCAGCGGGCCTGGACCGCGCCGCCCAGCGCAATCCTGCGTAAGCCGCCCGCGACGCTCATCAAACGTATCGGACGGAGGCGAAAGCAACGGGGTGTCCACCAGACCACCCCAACCCAACCCGAAGACCCGAATTTGACCCGAATTTCGGGTTGGCGGGGTACGGATACCATGTGTTGTTTTCAACGTTCCCCGACCCCCCCCCCCACTGGAAATGGAAGGCAAGTTGAAAGCTTCGGGTTGGGTTCGGGTGGTTTGGTGAGTGGTGAGCAACGGAGTGTCCCAGAGGCCGCGCTCCATGCGCTCCACCAACTCTAACCAGACCTCGTCCTCTGCCAGGTCGTACTCGGTCCCGTTGACAGCGTCGTAGATGGCGACGTCGCACAGGTCAGGGTCGATGCGGTTCAGAGCGCCCTCCACGTTCGAGGGCCCCCCGAAAAGATACAATAATCGGAACCTTGGCGTCTCGGTTGCTTGTCCCGATCTCGGGGCCGATGGCGCAGCCAAGCACTGGGCCGGCCGATGGTCCAGCGGGACGGCCTGCTGATCAAGCGCCGAGCTCCGCGATCTCTTCCGTCCGCCTGGCGTGGGTGGCGGAAGCACCGTCGCAGCCTGCCGTCCAGGACGCCTCGGCTGAACTCCATCCACGGCCCCTGAAGTGCACGGATCCCTGCCAGGATCGACCAGTGTCTCTGGAGAGGCGCTCTCCAGGGCGGTACCCACGGGCACCCAGCCGAGAGACGACGACTCGGGCGATGCCTTCACTATGTCGTCCCCGGACTCCCGAAAACCGTCCCCGCGAGCGCCGCCCCATCACATGTTCGACTTTTCCTTGGCCTTGCCCTTGCCGCTGCGGCCAAGGCCCGCTGGCTCGCGGTGCGCCAAGGCACACGTCGAAGGGCCGTGGCCCGGAGAAAGACACTTCGAACACTGATGGGCGCGTGATCTGTCCCGAGGGCAAATGGTGCCGATCCCGCTGTCGCAACTGTTGCTCTGGAAGTTCCGGCACAAGGTGATGCCAGCCCTGTTGGTGGGGTACTCCCCGTTGACGACGGTGTGTTGCTTAGGGCCCTTCGCCTGCTTCGCCGGTCGCGGGTATCCTGGCGGCGGCAGTGCTGGGCGTTTCGGGGCCTCGCCGCGCGGCGTGCCCATGGCGTTCGCGATGATCGGTGCGGCCACCGTGTCGTCGCCCCTGGAAGAAGCGGGAGCGTCACCGGCGACCATCCCGGACAAGCTGGCCGCCTCTGCCATGATGAGTGTCGCGCGCTTGTCGAGCTCGCGGTTCCAGAAGTCGGTGTCGGCCACCGCCTTCCGCCACACGTGCGTCCATGGCTGCGCGGCGAGTTCGTCGTCACAGAGGTTCCGCTTCAGGCGCCCCATGTGCTCCAGACGGCACCTAACATCGGCTTGGTAGATGACTAACCGACATTTCGGGCCATACTGGTCGTGGAACTCCTTGATGCGGGCGCCGTAATCCAGGAGATCCCCAAGGCTGACGGCTTGGAAGCCGATGAGAGCCGTGACCAGCAACTCATACGACATGGCCCCCTCCTGGTGCGTAGGTGGTCCGTATAACTCCACCTCCTTGAAAGTTCCGTTGTGCTGCAGCTGAAGGCCCTTAAACTTCTGCTTGCGATGGAAGCGGTTGCCGAAAGGCCGCCATACCGAGAAGTCGGCATACGGATTCTGGTCGGCGTCCAACTTGTGGTGAACGGCGATGATATGCTCCTCCGTAACGTCATTGTGCTCCGCAGGGTCCTTGCGAAAGATCTGGCGGTACGACGTGCAAAAATTCTTGATGATCTCACGGCCGACGAGCGAGACAGTAGCATCCGAGACCTGGTCCAACACCTGTGACAACTTCACGCTGTCAAGTCCCGTCGCCGTGGGCGCCAACGAGCCTCCAAGCGGCGATGCTGCCACGGTGTTCTCCCTGGCTTTCCTGCTCGTCGCGATCCTGCTGCTCCTGGGAGGCCCTCTGCTCAGAGGTCAGCTCCTTGCCCACGGCGATCCGACAAGCACGGCCGAAGACGTGGACGGCCGATTTCTGGATGCGTGAGATCGGGGCCATAGTGCCTTGCTCGGTGCACGGGATGCGGGGCGCCGCGATGACCTCGTCGACCTCGGCGTCCGGCATCTCCCCGACGAGCCCGTAATGCTCCTGCCCAGTCCCTCCGAGCTCCTCCAACATGGCCCTCTTCACCTCCTCCTCGATGCCTGCCCACGCGGCGACGCTCTCGTCGTGAACCCCGAGATCTGATCGGAGGTGGGCTCGGTGCCAGCCATGGCATTACTGGCCTCTGCCCACGCCAGGGAGAGCGCTAGCGAGGGCAGGGGCCTGCAGCCTGTCTTTCTGCGTGACAAATGCTTGAGCCAAAATGGTTACGGAGCAAATGCCAGGCAGATGCTCAAGCGGGGGGGGGAACCCATTTTGTTAAGCCCCCTTTTCGCTTGGCATGGTCACGCAGCCCCCCCTCACCAGCCCTACGCTGCCCAAATTGTGAGAAACGAAAGTGCAACATTCTCTGCCAAACAGTGATTGTTCTTGAGAAATGCGAAGTCAACAACGACAGCAGCAGCAGCAACAACAACAGCAGCAACAAGAACAACCACACCAACAACAAGCATGAAGACAACAACAACAACAACAACAAAACCAAACACGACGACGACAACAACAACAACAACCACAACAACAACGACGACGACGACGACGACGACGACGACAACAACAACAACAACAACAACAACAACAACAACAACAACAACAACAACAACAACAAGAACAACAACAACAACAACAACAACAACAACAACAACAACAACAACAACAACATCAACATCAACAACAACAACAACAACAACAACAACCACAACAACAACAATAACAACAACAACAACAACAAATACAACAACACTCATGTTAAGACTGTTCGCTCCTATCTGCTCACGTGCCAATCAATACGTATATCCCAAACCCTCTGTACCCGCCCTCGTCGTCTTCGATCGTACTCCCTTGGGGGAATATCTTCCTTACCTGCCACGTGCATTTAGTGCAGCCCCTAACGCAAGGGAAGAGAAGACTGGTGGAAGGGGGAGAGAGAAGAATGGAGCACGAGAGAAATTAGCAGGAGGGGGGCAAGGAGTAGAAAATAAATGGTAGAACCAAACGGGCAGATCGGGTGGGCAGACCCATAGCGGACAGGTCGGGAAGGCGGGCCCAGGCGACCAGGTCGAGCAGGCGGGTTGCTGAAGCGTGGGACCCATGAATCGCGCGGAAGCATCAAGCGATAGCGCGATTTCCAAGTGAATCGTGAGAAAAGCCAAAGCGAGAGCGTGATTCCTGAGCGCCGAGGGCGCATCATCTGAATAAACCGCGAGGAAGTCCCAAGCGAAAGCGCGATTCGTATACAAGTTGTGAATGTCCCGCGCGAGAGCGCGATTTGGGCATAACTTGTGAGGAGGTATCAGGCGGGAGCCGTTGTTGCTGTAAACGGGGAGCCAGCAACCCAGTTTGAGCCCAGTAACTCTCCCTGATGAAAAACAAGGTGCGAGCCCCGCGGGAAGCACTTGAATTGAAACAAATGATCACCGGAGGGGGGGATCAGGGAAGGTTCAATCACAACAACAACAACAACAACAACAACAATAATAATAACAATAGCAACAGCAGCAACAACAGCAAAAACAAAAAAACACCACCACCACAGCCACCATCACAACAACAACCAGAACCACAACAACGACAACACCAACATCAGCCACAACAACAGCAACAACAACCACAACAACTGACAACAACAGCAACCACATGATCATCATCATGAGCAGCAGCCTCATCATCACCTTCATCAGCTTCATCATACCATCGCCATCGTCAACATCATTGTGCGCATTGTTGTCCTCATCATCCTCACCATGGCCGTCATCCGATCCTCATCATCATAGTCTCCATCATCATCAATATCATCATTGTCATCATCATCGCCACCACCATCATCACCACAATCATCATCAGCATCGGCAGGATCGTCATCATCATCAAAACTATCCTCATCACCATCATCATCACAACCATCATTATCACCACCACCAACACCACCACCATAACCACCATCAACCGTCATTACCACCACCATCATCATCATCTTCATCATCACCATCATCATCATCGTCATGATCATCAGCATCATGAACATCATCATCGTCATCACCATCATCATCACCATCATCAGCATCATCCCTGGGGGTCCTCCTTCGCGATGCGCTGCGACCAGGTTCGGTTCTCCTGGAGAGAGGGTGGGGGTAAGCACACGCCACCACCAGGCCGACAACAAATGCCAAATTGGGGCCCAGACCCTGGTGTGTTCCCGCTCCGTGCACAGGCGAGGAGGCGGCATGCACCAAGATCTGGCCCAAAATGTCAGGGGCAACTAACTCTAGGGGGTGGAAGGACTCAGGGGTTATACTTTTTGTTGACGTTCGAGGCTCGCGGCTTTCGACCGTCGACATGGGTTCTCAACGGTTCTGCAGCCACGGGATGCCTCCCAGCAGCTGCGCCTCGCCAAGAGGCGCCCCGAACGGCCGCCGGAGACCCGAGTTTAGGAAGGCACCAACTATACACCAACACCAATCCTTGCCAGGATCACCCTGGGCCCAGGATCTATGTATACGCCCTCCTGCCTTGGGCAGAATGCATTTACACCGATCCTGGGCCTAGGATCGGCCTGGCCAGGATCGGTGTAGGTGTATAGTTGGTGCCCTCCGAGAGTTATGACCCGAAGGCCAGACGACAAGGATCACTGGCTCAGGGGGGGGGCGCATCGACCCCCACCACCCACTCCTCGCCGACAGGGGCCCGGCAGCCCGCCCCGCCCAGGAGCGTGCGGCCTCCCCACCGGAGGCTGCTAGCCGACCTGTCGCCGAAGCGTCGCTGGTCCAACCTCGACGCTTACCGTCGGGGCGTTGACCTAAGGAACCCTAAATAAGGAACGAGGCCCCTTTCTCCCATAAGTTGAACATCGATTTCCCATGGGAAACCTCAGGAGAACCGAAGGTGCACTGCAGAACAAGCAAGGAACACCGAGCCCCTCCCCAACGAAAAGGGTTCCTTCTTCAGGGCCCCGACTGTACCCCCTGAGACAGTTCACCCCTGTCGTCGCGCCTCAGAGCAGCCGACTCCAGAAAGCAGAAAGCTGGGGCACGCCGGTGTTGCCGTTCCAGGGGTCCGCCTTTACTCCCGCCGGCATCCGCGGGCCATCCGCTCGCCCTCGGCCGCGGGCCACGAAACCATCCCTTCGATTCCTCGCAGGCGATGCCCCGGGCCTGTGCAAGCCTGTTGGCACCATACATCCGACGCCGTGGCTTTTCGTTGCGCGACTTTGGCCTTTTGACCACATCTGGAGGCCTTCGGACCCGAAGCAGACCACGAGCGGTCCCGGCTCTAAAAATCCAGCCGTCGCGATTGCTTCGTGACGCCAAGATGTCGTGGTCGTGGATGGTGTGTACTCTCCCTCTTGTAATCTCCTGCTCAGTGACCACCTTGCGGCCCGCGTTCGGGTTGCCGCCGGAGAAGTACACCATCGGCCAAGGCCACGGCAGCGTGGGCCACCTCGGTGTCGTTGTCGTCAACGTCGCATCACCGTCGCCTCCTTCATCCTCATCACCCTCCCTCCGCCTCCTCCTGAACTCCCCCTGCTCATCCTCGTGACCCCTCCTCCATCGCACATCCTTTGTCCTCCGTCCTCCTCATCCTCCTCCTCCTCGTCCTCCTCCTTCTCCTGCCTCCTCCCTCCTCCCTCCCCTCCACTCCTTCCTCATCCTCATCCCTCCTCCCTCCTCCTCCCTCCTCCCTCCTCCCTCCCTCCTCCCTCCTCCCATCCTCCTCCCTCCTCCTCATCCTACTCCCTCCTCCCTCATCCTCCTCACTTCTCCTCCACCTCCTTCTCCTTCTCCTCCTCCTCCTCCTCCTCCTCCTACTCCTCCTCCTCCTCCTCCTTCTCCTCCTCCTTCTAGCCGTTGCCCCGCAGGCGGGGGCCTGGGGTGTCGCGCGCGCGAGTGGAAGCGGCGCAGCGCGCGGGAGCGGATGGCAGTCGCCTGATGCTCCTTCGGCTCCTCCTGCCCTCGGCGCTGCTGGAGTGCAAGGACGCGCAGCAGACGCTCGCAGATCTGGCGCAGCGCTTCACGCAGGAGGTGAAGGACATCGACGAGCTGCAAGTCAAGTTGGTGCTGATTTTTGGGGGCCAGGGCCCCAACCATACCGCCGAGCTGGTCGCGCCGTTGCCGAAGGCGATGCCGATCAAGCCGCCCATATTCCCCGCCCTGACGGGGGTGGTCCAGGAGCCGCCGCCGGGGTACTGGGGGGAGCCGCAGGCGCCGCAGGCGCCGCAGGCGTGGCGTGGGGCCAGGCCGCAGGTGATGCTGACGGAGCAGGAAGTGACTCGGCAGAAGGAGGTGCGCGAGCTGGGCGCGTACCATCACAGCCTGCAGCGGTCGCAGCCGATGGGGCCGGAGGTTCGTCAAAGGTCGGTGGGAAGGCCTCGACGGAATATGGCCATGGGTGTGGTACAGACTTCTACAGCATCTGCGAGGACAGCGACGCAAACAAGAGCATCACGGCCAGCATTGAGCACTCGTACGAGGCGCTCGCAACGGCCGTGCCTGCAGATTTGACGGGCAAGAAGTGGGGTGAGTCCAACCAAGATCAGCGACGTGGTCATGATCAAGGGCCACCCGCGCAAGGCCATCACTATTACGGCAGCGAAGAAGGGGAAGAACGGGCTCAGCAAGCTGAAGATCGAGGTGCTGGACATCCACACGTCGCTGCAGTACGAGGACGTCAAGGCGGCGACCTTCGTGGCCAACCTCCCCCAGGAGGCGGGGATGGCCATCACGAGCGGGCAGAACGTGGAGTACAGCTGGCTTGACAGCGAGATGCTAGTGGCGCAACATGGCACGTGCGCAGCGCAGCTCCAGAAGCTTGGCCTGCTGGACGTCCACGCGTTCGAAAAGTTCCACAGCATCACGAAGCAGGCCGTCAGCACGAAGAAGGCACAAAGCGGAATATGGGGTGAAGATTCCGCGTAGTGGGTTTCGGCATCAGAAGACGGATGAGGAAGAGACCCAACCTGGAGGTCTCCTGGTCGACCCGCCGCCGCAGGCGTCGAAGCGGGCGGCGAGGATGGAGGAACGGGCCTCGAGCTCGGCGAAGAAGAGCTGGACCCGCTCGAGGCCTCGTTGAACTTCGAGGTCGGAGCACCCTGCAGGCCCAGGCTCGTCGAAGGCTGCAGGCCTGAGCGGCCGCAGGGAGAGGGGCCCCCCCGACGCCCCCTGGGCTCCTGGGGGGGGGGGGGGGCTGCTGGCCCTTGGTTTTGGCGGGGCCTCCTCGGCCTCGCGGGCGTTGCTGGGCGGGCCTCAGGGCCCCTCGCGGCCCCTGTGGGCTGCCGCTCCGTGGGGGCTCGGTGGCCTCTCGCCCTGGGGGTCGGAGCGGCGCGCGGACGGCGCGGGCGCGCCCGCGGCGGCGGCGGCGGGACCGCCGCTCCTCGCCGAGCGCGAGGGGGGCCGACTGGCCTCCAAGTCGCCACAGCCGCAACGTCCTCCTCCTCCTCCTCCTCCTCCTCCTCCTCCTCCTCCTCCTCCTCCTCCTCCTCCCTCCTCCTCCTCCTCCTCCTCCTCCTCCTCCTCCTCCTCCTCATCATCATCATCATCATCATCATCATCACCATCATCCGCAAATGGGCCAGCATTGGAAGGTGCATGGGCTCGCCTCTCTTTCGGTGCTACTTGTGCCCCCGTCTTTGTTGCACAAACACTCTTCTCCTCCGCAAATCACGATCACTTCCTTACGACGCCCTGAGAGATGTCACACAGTGAGATGTATAGCTGAGCTCAGTCGCTACAAGGAGTGAGCTACGCAGCGATTACCCCGTGGACACCGAGACCTCCAGGACATCGCAGCTTCTCTGATACGCATGCTGAAAGATTGTCGATGCGAAGAGCCCGCATACTGCCCCACAGACTTAGAGCATCAACGGTGCTGCTGACAGGCCGGCAAAGCGCCGCGGGGGTTCGAGATCCCTTTCCAGGTCGGGGCGGAACTCTGCAAAGATGATCGTGCCATACTGGGTCTCGAAAGGCTCTTGGATGGACATGTCTCGAGGTGACCACTGCTGCGCTCAATTCACGAGGTTGTCGGCATTCATATATATATATATATATATATATATATTCCTCTTCCTATATTTGTATAAGCCCGGGCGGGGGGAAAACCCATCACCTCCCCCCCCCCAAAACCGGACTCCCGGGACCTGGGGCTGTGGGGCCCTCCGGACGGGGCTCGAAGCGGCCACCGGGCCTCGCAAGGCGTTTTGCCAAGCCTTCCCAGCACACTTAGGGCGATCAGGGGGATCATCGCAGACGTCCCAGAGACCCCCAAGACAGCACAAGTGCGCTCCAAGAGTGACCGACGTGACCTCAAGATGGCCCAAGAGGCCTCCAGGACGGCCCCAAAGAGGCCTCCAAGAGCACTCCCAAGAAGGCCCACAACCATCCGAAAGGGCTTCCAGGCAGTCCAAGAGAGCCCCAAAACAGCACAACACGGGTCCAAGATGGCCCTCAGAGAGCCCCATGGCGGCCCAAGATGGCCCAAAGACACCCTCCGAAGAATTCCAAATCGTGTTTCGGTCGTTCAGGGAGACGGCGGTTGGAGGCAGGGTGGCCCGAGGAAGCCCCCAGAGGCCCCCAGAATACGCCCAGGAGGCCTCCAGAAGGCGTTAAGAAAGCCTGAAACAACTTTTGTGAGGCCCCTAGAGGCTCTCCAAGGAGGAGCCTCTGCAAAAAAGAGCTGAGGAGGATGGGGAGAATGCGCAGGGTATGGCGAAAATAAGGAACAATAAGCATGGAGGAAGGATAACGAATAACATCATTATAGCGGCGATGCCAGAAAAGGCAACCAGGAGTTATCGCTAAATTGTCGCCTTGACCTTGCTGCCATTCCGCCTGCATACCAAACTTCAAGGACCAAGGTGCATGGCGCGAAGCGCCACTGCAGTCTTGTGTATATATATACTAGAACCACGCGCGCGCGCTTCGCACGCGCGTAGGTTCTAGCCCAGCCCATGGCGCTGTGATGACACGAAGGTCGGGGTTTACGGGCGACTCGGTAGGAGAAGGGTTGCGACCGTCTTGGGCCGGTCATCGGTTATGGGCTGTCTTGGGGGGGGGGGGGGGGCACGTGTCTTCGGTCCCAATGGCGCCGTCCAGGGTTGCCAGATCGTTGTCGCGACACACGAGTCTCGGCCTGCGGGTTAGTCGGGAGGATCGCTGAACAGCCTTGGGACATTGACTAGCTTTCTGATAAAATGTCGAGGCCGTAGTTTGCTGGCCGTTGGATGTCGTCACATGTTCTTGGCCTGTCTGGCCGAGCACGTGCGGGAGGGGCGAGGAATGATGGAGGACGGGACAAAACCTGCGTTGAAATGGAATGCACGCGCTGCCACTCCAGCTGGCGGAGCACGTGCAGAAACTCCTCCTGGTCGCACCGGCAGGGCCTCAAGTGCGATGACGCTGCCTTCATTACTGACGAGCTTTCGAGCCACCTCCAGCCGTCCTTCGGCAATCTTTGTGCATCTTGACGGACGAATGCTGGAGATGCGGCTTGGGGCTTCTCAGAGTGACGTGTTGGAACCCTCTTGGGGGCTTTCATGGTCATTGATTTATTTATTTGTTCCATGGGTCGCATGGTCACTGGGGCCCGCGGCGTGACAGGGTCCGTCCGTCCTGCCACCCTACCGCTCTGCCTCGAAAGCGTTCCAAAGAAAGAAGAGGAGGAGGATACCCGAACAACACGTGCTGATTTAAGAACCGGCCCTGGGAAGGTTCTGGCGGCAGCTTCTGTGCCCCAGGGTCCCGTAGAATTACGGTGTGTAGCTCTGCCGGCCAGCGCAGCGAGGCCATGTGCCGCGAGGCAGCTGGACTACGAGGGAGAAGATGAGTGAAATTGACTGCGTTCACCGAGCTGCCTGTGCACCTGGGTTCAAGTCGAGCTGCGAACGCACGTGTCATTAGCATCGCAGGCCACTGCGCCTCCATTCCAAAAGGAACACCGAATTTTAAGCCGCCCAGGGTCAAACATTGGAAAAGCTGCACCTTGGGCGGATCTAGTGTGACCCAATCACTCGAGCACACGAATTCGTGGGACACCCACGTGTGCAAACCACATGCTCCTCAGAGCTCTGGCAGCCCTGGCTTCGGCACGCCCTGAGAAGTTGCCGTCCACCAGCAATTCATCCACCCATCCGCCCACTTGAAAGGGTGGAAGGCCGCGAACCCCGAGTTGGCACAATTGTTGTCCTTTTTGCACAGACCATCGCCGATAAGGCTGAAGTCATCTTTTGGGCCGACGCCGAGATGCCGCAGGCATTTGTGCATAAAGAGGTCTTCGCCCCATGACCGCCACCAAGAGTCGAAGTCTGTCTGGCAGCGCCACATGTTGTCTCTGTACATCTTGAGCCCCTCTTTCGAAATCGCTTCCAGAGCACCGAACATCATGGGAAAGTCTGAGTCGCCTGGCCAGGCGTTGCAATTCCTGAAATAGGCGGGCTGCCAAACGTATGGCCTCAGATGGTCTCTGAGCCTGTCCGCAACGATGACAGCATCGGGGTCAACCTTCACCACGAAGTCGTACTGCAGAGCAAAAGTCTTCGTCATCAGGGCATCCCAGGCGTGCATGAACAACTCCGCATTCCCAGCAGTGCCGTCTTTCGACTGGCCCACCGGCGCGCCCTCGAAGACCACCGTGTTTACCTCTCCGATGCGCTCGCCGGGGCCGCGGCCAACGGTCCAGTTCTCTTCGCTCAATACCGCGAAGCCGTCGCACGCGAAGATGCCTGCGCCGTTGGAGAGTTGGGACCTCATGATGTCAGCTTCGTATTCCCACCTGCGGGAGACGGACCAACAGAAAAGTGGCGTGTCGGTTTGCCAAGATACCATGCACGGCTTCGAACATACAGTCTGGTTGTTAATGTTTGTCGTGCTATTCCAAAGATGCATTTGGAAATGCTCGAGAGGACTGAACTCGGTCAAGGTCGGGAAGGTGTCCGGGTCCTTGGCGTACAGCTCATTCGCAAACCAAGTGACCTGGTCGAAGCATTCTGTGCCAGCCCTCGCCGTCTGGCATGGGCAACTCTTCCAACAAGCAGTCGCGTTGGATCCGCCGCTCTCGTTGCCGATCGCACCGAAGCTCTGGTGGTACAGATAATCCTGCACCTCTTCGAAAGAAGACCACACATTCAAGCCATCGAATGAGTTCGGGTCGGCATGGATCGCATGCATCGCCTCGACAACTTCCTTGTAGCAGGCATCTCCCTCGATGGCATCCATGCACCAAGTTGTCGTTGTCGTGGTCGTGGTCGTGGTTGAGATAGTTGTCGTCGTGGACGTGACCCAGGGCATGGCAAGGTAGGCACTGTCGAGTTCTTTCTGCAAGTTGCGCCATACATTCCAGCTCTGTGAGGTGCATGGCGGATCGTCGCAAGCACTGCTGCCTCCAGCAGCGCCGGGGCCATCGCTCGCCGTCTCGCTAACGCGCTTGGTGCTGCCGTCAACACGGTCGTCAAAGTGTGATCCTGTCGAGCCATCACGCTGGGAGACACGAACCATGGCACTTCTTTCTAGGGAGCTGTCGGTGCTGGCTTCGGCGTTGGTGTCGGCGCCAGCGCCTGGACCAGAGACTAACCATACACCGAAGGCGCTAAGGGCAAAGAGAGCCACAGCAGTCGCCATGAGCGCGCCAACGCGGTGAGCCAGTTTTGGTTCTGGGCCATCGGGGATGGTGTCGGTGTCCTTCTCCTCCTTCCTGTCCCTGCGCACCATTGCCTCTGACTCCATCGAGTGATCTGAGGCAGCCACTGACAGAAGCGGACATCCAGCGGCGGCCTGCTCCCCAGCCATCTCCCACACTTACAGTCTGATGGCGACAAGCGGTGAGATCGACGGGCACATCAAGGATGCCGGCGACCTTGATACTAAAATGGCTTGAGCCAAACTGGCTTGAGCCAAAATGGCTATGAGGGGGCTTGCGTGGTCATCTTGGGAATCTCGTGGGGCAGTTCTGAAGCCAATTTGGGGCCTCTTGGGCTGTCTTCGGGCCCTCTGAGGGCCGTGCCGAGGCCGTCTTAGGGGCATCTTGTGCCGGCTTGGAGCCGTCTTGGGCGGTCGGAATCCAGGACGAGCGAAAACACAACAATTCTTCAAACACCTCAAGAATGTGTTTGGCCTCCTCAAGTCTCTTTGGGACGCGTCGGGGGCTCTCCTGGCTGGGGTGTCCTGGGGACCTCTTGAGCTGTGCTGAGGCCATCCTTAGCGCTCTAGGTGCCCTTTCGGGCCGTCTTCGGCTCATTTTGGTTCCTCTCAGGCGGTCTTGGTGGTATCTTAGGCTGTCTTGGAGGCCTCTTGGGCCGTCTGGATGCTTCTTGGACGCCCTGGGGAGGGGGTATCGAAAAAGGGGGCGAGATGATAGCGAGGTGCCGGGCCCATCGTCGAGGATCGAGGTCCGAAGTTGTTTTGTCTTCGAGGTTTCTCGTCGTCGCCGCGGCTGGACGCATCTCGAAGCGAAGTTTTCCCAAGGAGACGCAGGAAGAGGACGTGGAGAGAGATGAGGAGGCAGAACAGCAGTTGGAGCAGCAGTTGGGCCGCCTTCAAGGCGTCGTTTCGGCGTCTCGGGAATCTCTTTGGGCCGTCTTGAGCTCACAGTACCGTCCGCACTTAGGATCCTTGGTATTTGGAACTCGTTACGTGATGAAACACAAGAACAGAACGAACATCTATGCATTTAGCGTCTCCGGGCCTTCTTGGGTATCCTCTTGGGGCCTTTCTGGGACACTTCACGCCCCCTTGGGCCGTCCTGGGACTCATTTGGGACGTCTTGGAAGGCTTTGGCTGTCTTGGGGCCTTGTTGGGGCCACTTAGAAGGCTCTTGGGGCCCTCTGGAGCTCTCTCGAAGCCATTTGGGACCTTCTGGGCCTTCTCGGGGCCGTCTTGGAGCGTCCTTGGGCAGTCTTGTTGCTCTCTTGGGCCGTCCTGGAGCCCTCTTTGGGAGCCGCTTGGGCCGTCTTGGGCCGATTTCTGGGGCCTCGTGGGCTGTCTGGGCCCATCGGTAGCATGAGAAAGCCAGAACATGGAAAGCCTGAAACAAACCTTCGAAAACATCGATTCTGTCGCCCCAGAAGTACCAAAAAGCAACCTGGAAACACATGGTTGCCTCACTTCTCGCTCCAGAAATACCAAACATCTGAACGACAACACAGGGCTCCCGCACACCTGGCATTACAAATTTTGCGTTTTAATTTGGGCTGTTGGGGCTGAGCGGATCGGAGTACCTGAGAGAGCTACTCGGCGGGATTGTTGCTGGAACGCCGAGAATCAAAAATTCGATACGGAAAAATCAGATTGAACACATTGTTTCCTCTTGATGAATCCCGAAATTTCAACTGTAACAACAGGGTTCCGCACCCCAGGCATCGCAAACTTTGCGTTACGTGATCGGAGCCCACGCCTGGGGAAGGCGACCAGCGAGAGAAGTGAAAGGGAGAAACAGAGAGATAGAGAGAGTGAACAAAGAAAGAGAGAGAGAGAGAGAGAAAGAGGGAGAGAAAGAAACAACAAACAAGAGAGAGAGAGAGATATATATATATATATGGAAAAAAGGGAATAGAGAGGAAATGACATATAGAACAAAAAACGGGGAAGGAGGAAGAGGAGGAAGAGGAGGAAAGAAGGGGCACCACCGTCTGCTGGGGGGGGGTCCACACATATATATATATATATATATATATATATATATATATGTGTGTGTGTGTGTGTGTGTGTGTGCATGGCCCGCGGCGGATCTCAACCTGGAGCTCCTGGACGTCGACCAGCGCCTCGCCTGAGACATCCTCGAAATCTGCTCCGACGCCAGAGGATGCTGAGCACGCAAACGGGCAAAACGCCTGAGACATCCCCACAATCTGGGCGTGAATCCTAGAATGTCCTGACCCCTGGCGCCACACCTTAGGAATGCTGAAACCAGCGCATCGCCTGAGACATCCTCAGAATACGTGTGTGAATGATTATGACTATGAGTGGGCCTGAGTGAGGAAGTGATGTGAGTGGGTCTGACTGAGGAACACTGAGTCTGAGCCTGAGCCTAAGTGAGTCTGAGTGTGAGTGAGTCTGGGTGTGAGTGAGTCTGAGTGCACTGAATCTGGATGAGAGTGAGCCTGAATATGAGCGGGTCTGAGTGTGAGTGAGTCTGAGCGTGAGGGAGGAGGAGAAGGAGGGAGGTAAGGAGGGTGAGGAGTCGGCGCGTTCTAACATCATGAAACCCATCTGATAAGATGGGGAGCACGACCCCGCCTTAGGATTTTAGGAAACAGAACAGGAGATGGAAAGAAGAGGGAAGAGGCAGAGGATGAAGAATATGGAGGAGGATGAGGAAGGAAGAAACAGGAGAAAGGGTGGAAGAGCAGAAAAAAAATGAGGACGAAGAGGAAGACGGAAAACAAAAATGAGGAAGAGTACGGACGGAGGGAGGCAGAACCCTGGGGCCCGGGGTGGCGAGAGGGCGCCTCGTGTTGCCGACTGGTGTTACAAGTCAGCGAGCGCTCACCTGCTGCACTTGCAGCATGATGCGCAGAGCTTTCAAATCGAAGCCTCTGCTTTGAACAATGGCCTTCTTGAGCTTCTTGTCAGCATCCGACATCTGGGGCGCGATACTCACTGCATCGAACTCGCTCTGCCTGATTTCGCGCGACAGCTCGGCCTCGATTCCGTTAAGGTGGGCCATCCCGACGATGCAAAAGATCAGTGCGTTCGGTGACGCAATCGCCACTTGCTGCAATTTGCAAGCCATGAACGTATCCCGCTCATCGACTATAACAGGATCGTTGAGCACAGCGTCGGGATCTTCCATGGATGGCTGCACTTCAGTTCTTCTTAAACAAGCTTCCCGGGTCTTTTCCAGCTCATGCATGAATTTGCGACATGCTTGGATTCGCTGCCATTCAGTACCAATCAACTTGTCTTGCACCCACTCGAGAAATCTGACTGCTGCAATCGGAAAAGAACGAGCGCCTGGAATGAGCCAAACATGTCTTGGTAGAAACGCCGAAACCACCAAACTGCAAGTTGCAAGTCCGCCACCGTGCCTTTAGCACGTAGTGGAACGCCCTGTGGGCTCATAGGGACTGCAGGTGTCAAAGAACGCCCGGGGTCACCAATTCGCCGGAAGTGCTGTGGGTTCTTGGGCGATTCCGGCGTTTGCCTCGTGGGCCTGCAGGGTGCGAAGCCCTTCCAAACCGACTCCAAGAGCCTTCCAAGAAACGCTGAAAAAGGCTCGGGAACTCTCGGTGGCCCCAGGGGACCGTCACGGGACTCCCTTGGGGGCGTGGGCGCCAATCTTTGAAGCCATCGGGGCGGGCACAAGAAGCCAAAATCATTGAAAAGCAGTCGATGCTGCTATGATTTCGCAAGCTCCGCCCTCGGGCCTCCAGAGCGCCCAAGACGGCCCCAGAGGCCCCAAAGACCCGCCCGATGAGGCCTCCGAGACCTCCAACAGGGCCAGAAGGCTCCCCGAAGACCTAAGAGGGGGAACTCGAAGTGCCATTCGGAGCCCCACCTCAAGAGAGCCCCGCAGACACCCAGCAAGCTCCCAAGAGGCCCCTCAGAGGCCCCCCGAGGCTCCCAAGAGGCCCCCAGGAGGCTCCCAAGACGCCCCCAGGAGGCCCCGAGAGAGCCCCAAAGAGGCCTGTTGGAGCCCCATGAGGCTCCCCCAGAGGCCCCGAGAGGCAACGACGAAGCATCGTGTCCTCGACCCGTGAACGGTGGGGGTGTGGGCCGAAGACTGGTGGATACAACAGGTATAACAACAGCCGTTGTCACCGCCAAGCGCCAAGCAACTCAAAGGGCCTCAACAACCAGAATTTGGTCACTTCGCCTGTCGGCACCTTGGCTGCAAGCCTGGCAGAAGTCACAGAAATTGGGCGGTCAATCAGTTCATACCGAGTTCTCGTCTTGCTTGCGAGCTGAAGCCCAGACAACATGTCTGCTCCCTCTCTGGTCAGTCCGAATTCATTCTTATGATCGCTGATCTCGCCAAGGTCTTTCAGACAATCCACTGAGCCAGCCTTTACTTGTTGAAGGACCTTTGGCAATCGTTCGTGGCAGAGTTCCACGCAAATCACCCCTGGCTTCAGAGACATGATCAAATTACGAATCTCCGCGGGATCTGATGTCGAAATGTGGGAAGATCCGAATAACAAATGATCCCGGCAAAGCAACCTAACAGCGATGTGTAGGAGCATATCTGGAAGCATTCCCCTTAAGATTCAGATAAGAATCCTGTTGTAGAATTCTGCTGTTCTCGCAGTCGTGGTCGCATTCGCGATGGCAGTCGCAGTGGCAACAGCAGTCGCAGTCACAGCCTCAGCCTCAGCCTGCCTCAGCCTCAGCCTCAGCCTGCCAGCCTCAGCCTCAGCCTGCCTCAGCCTCAGCCTCAGCCTGCTCAGCCTCAGCCTCAGCCTTCAGCCTCAGCCTCAGCCTGCCTCAGCCTCAGCCTCAGCCTGCCTCAGCCTCAGCCTGCCTCAGCCTCAGCCTGCTTCAGCCTCTCAGTCTGCCTTCAGCCTCGGCCTCAGCCTCAGCCTGCCTCAGCCTCAGCCTGCCTCAGCCTCAGCCTCAGCCTCAGCCTGCCTCAGCCTCAGCCTGCCTCAGCCTCAGCCTCAGCCTCAGCCTGCCTTCAGCCTCAGCCTCAGTCTGCCTTCAGCCTCGGCCTCAGCCTCAGCCTGCCTCAGCCTCAGCCTGCCTCAGCCTCAGCCTCAGCCTCAGCCTGCCTCAGCATCAGCCTGCCTCAGCCTCAGCCTCAGCCTGCCTCAGCCTCAGCCTGCTTCAGCCAGCCTCAGCCTCAGCCTCAGCCCTCAGCCTCAGCCTCAGCCTCAGCCTCAGCCTCAGCCTCAGCCTCAGCCTCAGCCTCAGCCTGCCTCAGCCTCAGCCTCAGCCTGCAGCCTCAGCCTCAGCCCTCAGCCTCAGCCTGCCAGCCTCAGCCTGCATCAGCCTCAGCCTGCCTCAGCATCAGCCTGCCTCAGCCTCAGCCTCAGCCTGCCTCAGCCTCAGCCTCAGCCTGCTTCAGCCTCAGCCTCAGTCTGCCTTCAGCCTCGGCCTCAGCCTCAGCCTGCCTCAGCCTCAGCCTCAGCCTCAGCCTCAGCCTGCCAGCCTCAGCCTGCAGCCTCAGCCTCAGCCTGCCTCAGCCTCAGCCTCAGCCTTCAGCCTCAGCCTCAGCCTCAGCCTCAGGCCTCAGCCTCAGCCTCAGCCTCAGCCTGCATCAGCCTCAGCCTCCTCAGCATCAGCCTGCCTCAGCCTCAGCCTCAGCCTGCCTCAGCCTCAGCCTCAGCCTGCTTCAGCCTCAGCCTCAGTCTGCCTTCAGCCTCGGCCTCAGCCTCAGCCTCAGCCTCAGCCTGCATCAGCCTCAGCCTCAGCCTCAGCCTGCCTCAGCATCAGCCTGCCTCAGCCTCAGCCTCCCTGCCTCAGCCTCAGCCTCAGCCTGCTTCAGCCTCAGCCTCAGTCTGCCTTCAGCCTCGGCCTCAGCCTCAGCCTGCCTCAGCCTCAGCCTGCATCAGCCTCAGCCTCAGCCTCAGCCTGCCTCAGCATCAGCCTGCCTCAGCCTCAGCCTCAGCCTGCCTCAGCCTCAGCCTCAGCCTGCTTCAGCCTCAGCCTCAGTCTGCCTTCAGCCTCGTCCTCAGCTTCAGTCTGCCTTCAGCCTCAGCCTGCCTCAGCCTCAGCATCAGCCTGCCTCAGCATTCAAAGTGTGGCCCGGGAATGGAGTTCTGGGAACTCGAAGAACACGAAATGGCCTACAGTTGGCTCCGGGCATTCAAAATCATGCCCAGGAATGGAGTTCTGGGAACTCGAAGACCACGAAGTGGCCTACAGTTGGCTCCGGGCATTCAAAATCATGCCCAGGAATGGAGTTCTGGGAACTCGAAGACCACGAAGTGGCCTACAGTTGGCTCCGGGCATTCAAAATGTGGCCCGGGAATGGAGTTCTGGGAACTCGAAGAGCACGAAGTGGCCTACAGTTGGCTCCGGGCATTCAGAATGTGGCCCGGGAATGGAGTTCTGGGAGGTCGAAGAGCACGAAGTGTGTGACTGTTTGCGAAAAACGAGGTTCCCCGGAAATCCCCAACAGCCCCCCAACGGCCCCCCAACGGCTCCCCAACGGCTGCCCAGACCCCCCTGTGGAGTAATGTGCTGCTCTCTTTTGACACTACTAGAAACCTATCAGTCTTCGCTGTTAGGTAATCAAACGATCTCCCATGAGGTAGGTGAGTACTCCCTTCTTGATGTGAGATTGCTCCTAGAGGGCCTCGGAATCCCCACAGAGCGCCAGGCCTGACCATAATCTAATGAGTGAAATGGACTGCAGTGTCACTAGCAACTCCTGAACCAAGCACGGCTGTCGCGGAAGGAATATAAAATGTGACCCGAGACTAACCTAGTGAAAACTCAGAGAAATCAGTGTGTGTGTGTGACGGTTGTGTCAGGGAATTGAAAGTTGAGATGTGACAGGTCGACAAGGACACTGTGTATGAGTGTTGCATGATAGTGAGAGAACGAGTGTTGCCCAGGAGTGTCGCCCAGATATGAAGTTCTGAGAGGTCACAGAGCACAAAGTGTGTGACTGTCGCGTGGGATTACTCTGAATGTATCCCGGGATTGCCGTTCCAGACAGCCAGATAGCCCGGCGTGTATACCTGTTGTGTGCGATTTTTCCAAATGTAGCCTGGGAATGGCGTTCTGGGAGGTCTCGGAGCACGAAGTGTGTGACTCTTGCATCCTGTTATTCCGAATGTGGCCTGGGAATGGGGTTCTGGGATGCCAAAGAGCTCGAAATGTGTGACTGCTGCATCCCGTTAATCAGAATGTGGCCCGGGAATGGAGTTCTGGGGTGTCAAGTACGAGGAATTGTGTGACTGTTGCGTCCGGCTATTCCGAATGTGGCCCGGGAATGGCGTTCTGGGAGGTCAAGGAGCACCAAGTGTGTGACTGTTGCATCCGGTTATTCAGAATGTGGCCTGGGAATGGGGTTCTGAGAGGTCGACGAGCACGAAGTGTGTGACTGTTGGTGAAAAACGAGCCCGGCACAGGCCTGCTTCAGCCTCAGCCTCAGTCTGCCTTCGGCCTCGGCCTCAGCCTCAGCCTGCCTCAGCCTCAGCCTGCATCAGCCTCAGCCTCAGCCTCAGCCTGCCTCAGCATCAGCCTGCCTCAGCCTCAGCCTCAGCCTCAGCCTGCCTCAGCCTCAGCCTCAGCCTGCTTCAGCCTCAGCCTGAGTTTGCCTGCAGCCTCGGCCTCAGCCTCAGCCTGCCTCAGCCTCAGCCTGCCTCAGCCTCAGCCTCAGCCTCAGCCTGCCTCAGCCTCAGTCTGCCTCTGCCTCAGCCCTCCTCAGCCTCAGCCTGCATCAGCCTCAGCCTCAGCCTCAGCCTGCCTCAGCCTCAGCCTGCATCCGCTCAGCTTCAGCCTCAGCCTGCCTCAGCATCAGCCTGCATCAGCCTCAGCCTCAGCCTGCCTCAGCCTCAGCCTCAGCCTGCTTCAGCCTCAGCCTCAGTCTGCCTTCAGCCTTGGCCTCAGCCTCAGCCTGCCTCAGCCTCAGCCTGCATCAGCCTCAGCCTCAGCCTCAGCCTGCCTCAGCATCAGCCTGCATCAGCCTCAGCCTCAGCCTGCCTCAGCCTCAGCCTCAGCCTGCTTCAGCCTCAGCCTCAGTCTGCCTTCAGCCTCGGCCTCAGCCTCAGCCTGCCTCAGCCTCAGCCTGCATCAGCCTCAGCCTCAGCCTCAGCCTGCCTCAGCATCAGCCTGCCTCAGCCTCAGCCTCAGCCTGCCTCAGCCTCAGCCTCAGCCTGCTTCAGCCTCAGCCTCAGTCTGCCTTCAGCCTCGGCCTCAGCTCAGCCTGCCTCAGCTCAGCCTGCAGCCTCAGCCTCAGCCTCAGCCTCAGCAGCCTCAGCCTGCCTCAGCAGCCTTGCCTCAAAAAATGTGGCCCGGGAATGGAGTTCTGGGAACTCGAAGAACACGAAGTGGCCTACAGTTGGCTCCGGCATTCAAAATCATGCCCAGGAATGGAGTTCTGGGAACTCGAAGACCACGAAGTGGCCTACAGTTGGCTCCGGGCATCCAAAATGTGGCCCGGGAATGGAGTTCTGGGAACTCGAAGACCACGAAGTGGCCTACAGTTGGCTCCGGGCATTCAAAATGTGGCCCGGGAATGGAGTTCTGGGAAGGTCGAAGAGCACGAAGTGTGTGACTGTTGCATCCGGTTATTCAGAATGTGGCCTGGGAATGGGGTTCTGAGAGGTCGACGAGCACGAAGTGTGTGACTGTTGGTGAAAAACGAGCCCGGCACAGGCCCGGCACCCTGCCGGCCGGCAACTCCCAACGCCTGCCCGGACCCCCCTGTGGAGTGATCTGTGAGCTCTTTTGAGTCAACTAGAAACCTATCAGTCTACGCTGTTAGGTAATATCTGTGAGCTCTTTTGAGTCAACTAGAAACCTATCAGTCTACGCTGTTAGGTAAATATCGGCCTGCCTGTGCTGGACAAAACGCAGCTGCTTGTTCGCGACGAGCTTCTGAAGCTGCTCGGAAATTGTCAAGGATTTCGGTCGGTGCAATTTACGCAAAATCGGCGAAGCAAATCGGAAAGGAGCAGTTGAAGCTCCCCCAAACTTCGGCCATGGCATCACTACAAAACCGCTGGCTCGGCTTAGGATGCAAGCGACTAGCACGTAGTGCATAAGATATTCGAGCCCGAATGGCTGTGCCTTGTGGATGGTGTGGGGACGTCTTGGGGTCGTTTGGGGCATGCCTTGGGGTAGTCCTGGGTGCTCTTGGAATGGTCGGGGCGGCCTGGGGGCGTCTGGGGGGCACCCTGGTGCCGTCCTGAGGACGTTCTGGAACCATCTTGGGGCAATTTGGGGGCCGTTTTGGGACGGTGTGACGGCGTCTTTCGAGCTCTGGGGCTGTCTTGGGGGCACCAGGCGCCCAGGCAGCTCAAATTTGTCGCGGCGGCAACGCGCCTAACCTGTGCACTGCCCCGACGGCACAGGAAGAGATACGGAGAGGGCGAGGAGGGAAAGAAGGGAGGGGAGGGGGAGGCAAGAGGGGAAGGAGGGAGGGAGAGGGAGAGAAAAGGCGGCAGGGTGCAGCCGCCGAAACACCAGCCGCCGAAACACCAGCCAACGTCCGCCAGACTGACGATGCCGAGATCTACGTTTGGGGGGCGCGCTCCGAGTCCGACCAGGCCAGGAGCCTGGGAGGCTCCCGACCTTCACCTCC